AGGATTCATAATAGAGGATTCATAGTGGAGGATTCTTGTTTGAAGAAAAATGTGACACCGCTAGTAGAGAATATCAGTTTGAGGAAGAAAACATTGTAGCAAATGCGCCGGTCTCCAAGTGGGAGATTTGTTATGCTGGAGCCTGGTTCGGACCCCCTCCCCGATCGCGAAAGGTCGCGATCTCTCGTTCGCGATCCCACCTTTGCCCACTTCCTCGCACGAAGCAAAGAGTCTAGTCGCAAACCGTAGGCGCCAACTGCTCTTGCCTTCGTCTTTTGTGAAGCGAAGCATCTCTTCACTCCCTTCTATTCGTGATAAAAAATCTCGCACGACTCTCCTTCAGATTAAGCAAAGTCAAGATTTTGAGTTCTTCTTCGGGCTTCTTGGGATAGAGGAAGAGTTCTTTCGGTTTCCTTAAGATAGAGGAAGAGAAGTGCAAGGTGTAATTCCTTGCGGTGAAGGAAGAAGAAAGAAAAACAGGAAGATTGTTCTCCCTTGGTTTCTTCTTTGTGACTTGTGGCAGAAGAGAAATTTGGGTTATTTCTCTTGTAAGTTTGTCTTCTTTGGTGTATCCGATATAGAGTTTCTTCAGTGTATAAAAAGAGAGAGAAATGAAGTGAGATTTTCCTCTTGTAAGTCGAGGTGATCGACAGGGTAAAATCCTCTGCAACTTCGCTGCAACTTCGCGTACGTAGGCAATTTGCTGAATCACGTAAATCTGTGTGTTCTTTTCTGGTGTGATTTTTCTCTTTCTATTTCTCGCTTCGTCGAGTGTTCTCTAGTTTGATTTATATATATACCACATTAACTGGTGTATATCTCGCAACACCTTTCATCAACTCACAAACTTATATTTAAGTTTCATGAGTTACATTATGTTTGTAGTAATAAATAGTTGCATGCACCATGAGGGAGATTTCAAAGTTGCAAAGGCTTTATTCTATTTTGTTTATGTGTAGCTTTCATGTACATAGAAAAATTAATTGGAATAATATCTCATGAAATAGATTGCATAATTGTATTCAAATCATCAAAATAGTTCTATTGAACTCATCAGCTACAAATCAAATATCTTTTGACAGTTCACCAGTTAAATTGCTCTTTTTATGTTAAAAAAGGACACTTTCGTCTGAAATAGTTACTTAGAGTTATAAAAAATATATTTAATGATGAATTTTTTTCTATTGTGCTTTCAAAACTAAAATTAAATTTGGGACAAACATTGAGCTTAAATCATAACTTTTATTGATAACTTGAGATCCTACTCAAATAAACTTAGGTTAAGATCCAGCTCATTTTTACTTTAAGGGTTGCCTAGGTTAGTTAATTAAGCTTCCTAAGGATCTCGTGGAATTAGCTCAATTTATCGGTCGACTGGATTGAGTCTGTCAGGCAAGCACAACAAATACAATTTCTGATTTTGACCCACCCACACATCAAATTTTTTTTGCACAAAAAATCAAACAATTATCATCAAACCTTAAGTGCAAAAGTTACAAGAAAATCGTTCAGATAAAATAAGGTATAAAAAAACATAACTTTATTAAGAACAAATAAAAAATTCCATCAAGGACACAAGGAAAGATTCAAATAATCGTCCAAGAATTCTCAGAATACTTTGATGGAATGAGAAAATTTTATGTTCAAATCTACAACCCTACATGAATGATCAGACGGGAAGCGATGCCTGAGACAGACCTTGATATTACAAATCTTGCATGTGTTGCTATTGGAAAATGTGAGGATCCCCTTGCACCTCAGCACAGGGCAACGAGGCTTGATCTTTTTTGATGGGTCGCAAGTTCCGGATTTTCTGTGGTGAGAGAGGTTGTCTTCGTCTTCCTCATCAGCCTGCTTTTCTATGGAGGCCGAACATAATTCACAGACGGCGACAGTTCTGCTATTGTGATCAGCTTTTGAGCAGGCGTGAGATCTATAAGTTTTGTGCTTCAGACAGAACACCTGCAACATAATTTTTTTTTAATTCAAATATTTATTAATCGAAAATTGAAGCAACATTAAATGATTGAAATTTAAGAGGAATAAATGAGATCTATGATGTTGCTTTGAGTAATTCATTTACATAGACCGCTCGAAAAAAATTTCATTTTTAGAGTTCAGCTGAATGGTTTGCTCGAGTTAATGAACATGTGTGTTGATTATTTGTATATATATAATCCAGAAATGTAAGTGGCGCCCTCACATTAGTTAGAAAATAAAGCAAAAAAATGCATATACATATCAGTTAAAAAACTGTGGAAGAGATGTGCGCCAAATCATAGAATAATTAATCGCTAAAATAGATCAAAAAAATTTATAAAACGAATCAGGTGATCTATTTCGAATTCTGAAGTTCAAATCAGATTCAAATAAGAGAAAGAAAGGAAGAAAGAAAGAAACCTTGCGGCAGCCGGTGCAGGTGAAAGGGAGAAAATCGAGTTGGTTGCAGTCGTCGTATTGGCAGTGCTCGCCGAGATCGGGAAAAGCTTCTGTACCTCCGCCCATCTTCTTCTATTTCTTCTATTTCAGATCCCCTCTTTCTTTCTCTGATCTCTCTTTCTCTCTCTCTTTCGATAGACGAGATCAGATATTTATAAGCTCTTTCTTCGTTCTTACTTCGCACGGCAGGAAGATGCTTGGCGCCCAAGGCATTTTGCTTTTTCTTTATTCTTAATAAGACTCGGTTTTTTTTTATTTCAAAGCGGCAAGAAATAAATAAATAAATGATGATGAGTTTCGAATGAGGCTTAAAACTTAATATGACATTGATTAAGATCATATCAAAATTTTCATATTTTTTTAAAGAGTCGTTTCTGTTTTGTCTGCTGGGGGAGTCGCTAACATCGTGTAATCACTTCTCCGAGTAAACCCTCTTTCGGATGTTATGATCTGGATGAGAGATGAATCAGAAGACAAGGGTATATCTTGATGAAGACAAATGAGAAATTGTGTATGGAGTGTTTTCATGAAGTGAACTTTGCGTAGATGACTTCTGCAACGTACATCCTATCAAAGGTCGGATTGGAACACGTTGAAAGCGTGTCCACAAAGAGGAGCTTTTGAAAGCAATCAACAAACAAATATTTAGATTTTGTGTCTGTTATGATAGCTCATTCTTCCTATAAGTGAAATCTCTATGATTAATTACATCTTAAAGAACCGAAGTAAGTTGAGAAAACTCTCAATTAAGACTGCACTCTTGTCCTCGAGAGGTTGGACCTGCCGTGCTTACTAAAGGGTTTTAATATCTTGCTATGTTTCTTTATTAGGACTTACACTGCATAACAACAATCATGCAAGAGCCTAAAAAGTGAGGATTTAACTCGTAGTTAGACAGGAGAAACTCAGGATGAAGTTCGTCGAGAGAGGTGAAACTTCAGGACCCTATCCTATTTGGATGTTGCTTATGATTAATTTAATTTAATTTTGTGGATGAAGTGGATTTGGGAAGTAGATTTGGACTTGAATTTAGTGGACTTAGACTTTAACTTTGTTATGATGATTTTAAAATTGAAATTGATTTTGATTTCAATTTTAATGGTAAGGCATGTGTGAGCATGGTATTGGTAATTGTGATGTGTGTGTGTAAATGTGCATGTGGTAAATGTGAATTGTAGTGGTGGTGATGAGTGTGTGCATATGTAGTGCTTCAAGGAGATGGATTCCTAGGTCACAAGGGTCTCCCGAGGGCATCACTCAACTCTATGGTGAGCTCATTTTGAGTCTCAAAGTGTTGGTTCCTAACCAACTCAACCAAGTGTTGAGGATTTAAGACCTCGCTCATGAGATTGCAAAAGAGCTTAGAAGTAGTTGGAATACCTAATTGGGGTGGGTCCCACCACTAGTCTTCTAGGAATGTTTATAGGAAAATCTTATGGCTAGATCCTAAATTCTAGAGGAGGAGATA